TCTATCGTGGGGATCATCTTTCAAAAGGTTAAGAGTGGGATCTTGGATACATGGAAAGCCAATATGTGCCGACAACAGCTTGAGAGGTCACAGTTCTAGGTGATGAAAGCGCAAAGACAGTTGAGGACGACGTGAAAAGACGTTTTTTGTTGTCGGGGATCTGTTGGCTGTGTGTCGTGACTTGGATTTCATGGCTGCTTCTTTCGTGACACGACGCTCTCCACAACGTCTCGAGCTTTTCAAGTCATTAGCACAGGCTGAGGACAACTGGCTGCGCGGCTTCAGATGGATTCAGAAAGTGTGTGTCGACGTGTGTGATGCGATTTGACGAATGTGAGATTGGGCTGAAAACATTTGTAGTTGAAACAAGGCTTACTTAGTCCGGTGTGGAAGTGATCAATTATTATTAACTAAGTCTATGTGTGACCCCGCTCCCATCTCTGCGTGGAGTGAGGGAGAAATGCCCACAACAATTGTAAAGCGCTTTGTGACTCTGGTCTGTGAAAGGCGCTATATACATAAAGATTACTTACTTTTCCACGAAAAGCATGTTCCAAGTTAGAACTTTTGAGAAACGTGAATATACGTATATGACCACTTAGTGCAGACCGGGGCAAACTGCAGCCCTGGGACCACATTCGGCACATTTCTTGTTTTTCTCAGGCCCCTCACAGCTGTTTGTAGAATGATTAGAAGAACCTTTTCTCCCATTTAGCAACACAATCAGCACCTTTGGAAATATGACACTCCATCACACGCACATGAGCTTGGACACTTGGAAGTTAATTTTGTTTTTTTTATTAGTAGATAAAGTTATTTGGTTCTTCAATACCGGACAATTGTAAGATGCAAGAAATGTTACTATTGTGAATGATAAAACAGATTTCTATAGGTTATCACAATCTCACAACGTAGAGAAAGTCCAATGTGGCCTCCAGGTTAAAATAATTGGCCACCCCTGACTTACAGCATAATAACAGGATGGATCAATAAATGGTTCTGGATAGGTCTAGATATGAAACATATCTCTGTAAAAGATATGTGGATAAACCTTAAAAGTACCTAGTTCAAGTACATAAAATACAAGTAAACAAAGTCTTTCCCAGGCTCGCCTCTTGGTGGGACATGGCCACAACACCTACCCTCCAGGGGGAATCCAAAACAGATGCCAGAGCCACCTCAGGAGAAGCAGCTCGATTCTGAGTTTCTCCTGTGTGAATGATATCAAATTGAGCGCCCGTAAATTGAGGTTGTTAAAATAAATAAATAAACAGACAAACTGCAGTGTTCTATAAAAGTACCTTATTCTTACATATCTAGATACACATTAAAACTAACAATGATATTGGGTCTATCAATAACTGATCCAGACATCTTGACATATGATCTGGATCAGTTTTTCAGTACACAACTCTATAATGTCCATTATTGTTCCTACACTTCAGTTTCACATCAAACTCCTGCACTTATACATCTGGATGAGGCCCTCCACAGCTGTCAATCTCCTCTTGTCCAATCATTTCTCAGACCGCTCCAGAGACCCGCCTACTTCACACATACATATCTGCGGATACACACACTCACGCACGCACACACACATCACACACATATTCACCCAACATCCTTTAGTTCAGACACAAGAGCACTTGGAGCTCTTCCACCGAGACATGTAGCGCTGTGGAGACAGTAGCCGTGACAACGGGCATAAATTAGCGTCATGGTGATATGCAAAGTGAGGGAGCAACAATTAAAGCTTGACTAACGAGCTTTTGAGGAGTGGGGCTGAAGTTTCCCTGAGCAGCTGCTAACTGGATTAGCCTACACAGAAAACACAGACAGAGACGAGAGGAGCACTGTAAAACTCAACAAGTCCAACACATTATTGTCGTAATCTGTGAGTGAACTTCAAGAGCAAAGTGGATAGAGCAATTAGATAAACACTGTATATATAACATCTGGGTCTTACTCAAATAATGACTTAGTTCAAATGCATTGCAAATGATAATAAGACTTGATAACATGACAAAGTCTGCAATACAGAGATACTATATGACACATGTGGCTCATAAAAACTTTACAACATTTAATCTCAATAAATACATCACAATATTTAGCTAAAACAATGTATAAAGAGTAACTTCCTTGTTCAGTCCCGCCAGTTGGATGAAAGGGTCACATCATATTAATCACAGGATCCACTAAAACCGCAAATCAAGTGAGCATTTGTCATAGACATTTAGATATCTTTAAGTTCATGTCTTTCTCATTTCTAAAGTTCAAGCTTCCAACTAAATGCTTTCACTGAGCACTGGTTCTTGGACGGATCCAAGAAAAGCAGGAATAATATCAAATCTAATTTAACTAAATGACCCAGAATTAAACTATTAAACTATTTATACTCTACTGTAGGGTTTAAGCAGGTTTTTGGAGGACTCGTTACCTCCAGTTTCTTGGTGCTGTGTGGATTATTGCTGATCATTTCTTTGCGCACAAAAACACACCATTCTTCTTCTAACTCACTTTTGACTTTTACAGTGCAGCACGTGAGGCAGGCAGAGCGGACGTTTTTGAGCGTGGCTGTGAAGACCAAGAAAGAACAGAACACACACGGAGCCAAACAAAGTGTCAACAACGCCGCAATTCAATTACGCGATCGCTGCATTGAAACGGAAAATGCAAACAATGAACCGTAATGGAGATATTTTCGGCAGCGCCACTGGGCCATGTAGGTGTAATACCGGTAAATTAGATCTGAGAAATAATGACAAACCTGGAGCGTTCCGGAGCCTGACGTGTCGACAAATGAACATCAACATTTTCTCGGGGAACCAAGCTGTTTCTGTAAAAGTACAACAAATACAACTTGGGCTGCATTGATCCTTCTCTTCCATGGTCGATACCGGTGACAGGTTTGAAAATAGCACCAAATTACAGCTAACTAATTACAAAATGAGTCGAAATGGTATTATCCGTCCGCTTTCTTCCGCTTTATCTGTTGCCAGGTTGTGGAGGTTGTTGCCAGACTTCCCCCAGGGAGTTGAATTGATGAATAATTCTTGCAAACTTTCTGTAAATGACTTTGTTTCACTTCTCAAATATCACTGTGTCTGTCTCCTACATGATATATTTAACTGAAATGTCTTATCCAAACAACCAATGGTTTATAAAAGAAAATCACACAAAAAAATCATTGATGGGGGTGTCCAAACTTTTTCATACCACTGTATATTGTATCGGTAAATCATATGATTAACTGTTATAACAACAGAACGACTTTGGATTAGTTCTTTGTACAAAAAGACCTCCTCTTCAGCCCCATGGCGCGTTTCTGGATTTGGATACACAATCGATAGGTCTTTCCTGCTTTGGCACGGCCCTCACTAATGAAACTGGCAACATAAACATTTGGACACCTGTAAGGGGCGCCTCTCCGCAGTTCCGACATGTTAAATCACCTATTTCTCTAAATAAGGGAATGAACTTACACTCTGTGGTATCTTCATGAAGTCAAGCAAGTGGTGGATCCCTTGGTTAGACACTTTTATGCAAAACTTTAGTCATTATTAGACTATGGACTAAAATCAGGGGTCTCCAACCTGTAGCTCGGCAGTCACCAGTAGCTCGCCATCCCCTTCCAGGTAGCTTGTCAAAGGAAATGAATAAAATCAAAAAGCTTAATATTTCAGATTGTATAATTCACTATCATTATTTATTATTGTAAGTGCTCTTACTTCGTCACTAGTAACCATTATGTGATGATAAATAATGACTGTACCCAATAACAGGCTTGTTTAAATCAATATATCACCACATTTTCCCAGGGCTAGTTAAAGGAGTAGTATTGTCCCGGGGAAAGTAGCTCTCTGGGTGAAAAAGGTTGGAGACACCTGGACTTAACCATGTCTCAAAAGGACAAAACCAGGACTAAACCATGTCTCAAGAGGACAAAACCAGGACTAAACCATGTCTCAAGAGGACAAAACCAGGACTAAACCATGTCTCAAGAGGACAAAACCAGGACTAAACCATGTCTCAAGAGGACAAAACCAGGACTAAACCATGTCTCAAGAGGACAAAACCAGGACTAAACCATGTGTCGGGACCAGCATTCTCACATTTGTCTAGTATGGAACCAAAAAACTGAATCTACAAAGACGACAAGGACTAAAGCTGGGCTAAACCATGTCTCGGGACTGAACCAGGACTAATGCTGGACTAAACCAGTATTTTCAGTCTAAATATGTCAAGGTAATAACATCGCTATCTTACATTTGTCTCGTATAGAAGAACCAAAGTACATAATCTACAAAGAGGACAAGACAAACTTTGCTAAACTCTGGACTAAAACCTGGACTAAACCATGTCTCAGGACTGAACCAGAACTGAACATTTTCTAATAATCATAAATAATAGATTATATGCCCAAAATTCTCATTTGGACTGGATCCTGTTTGTTGTTTTGCCATATGCTGTCAGGACATTTGAGGAATTCACCTTGACTTTGTGTGGGACTTGGCTGCAGCCTACATTTATCACACAGATGGTTTTTTCCTGCATATTTTTACCTGTTCTTTTTTAAATTATTATTATTTACTTGAAAACTAATAATGCAGTTTTCCCTTTGCCAAATCACCCACAAACGCTTCAATGTAATACAATGACCCACCTACTAAGTGCTCTCGGGTGTTTGGATCTCAGTTTAAATGTACTCCAGGGATGAGGCAGTCCATAAAGTTATAATCGCAAGTGCGCTACCAAGAACAGATCATAGACTAAAAATAATGACAGAGTCCCAAGGTGGCGCAGTGTAGGAGCAACAACAGGCTGACAACCATCGATGTCTATTCCTCCTCCGGGACAGTTTTAACAAGCTTTCCATCGTGACATCAGAAGTTACAAAAAGTCCACAGCGTAATAAACGTGACAACCTGTGAGTGCCAGAGATTAACCGTTCAACATTCAGACAGATATCGTCGAGACTATTTGAGGTAAAAACCAAACTACATTTGAATGGTTTGGACGGAGCCGCTGATTTTTGAGGCCTGAGGTGAACGCACAAGCTAGGGTCAAGTTATAAGACACGATAAAAATTAGATAAGAGGACTTTTATTTGTCCAATAGCGGGGAAATTTCAATGTTGCAGAGCAGATACACAAAAGCACGCAAAATATACAATGTATATTTGCTTGCTGTAAATGCTTCAATATCAATATCAATATATCTAACTGCACAGGTTAAGGTTAAGGTACTCTTTTGTTTCAGCGATGGATCCTGGTTTGATAATATTCTTGGGTTTCATTAAACTGGCCAGTAGGGGGCGAATGAGCAGAGGTGGGACAACTCACTTCTGCTTCCATTGAAAACCATGTAAATTGTGTTTGTTTTGGAGTCAAAAGGCTCTCATCCTGTGCGGTGTACAGTTGTTGTAACAGTCTTAATCGGGGACATTCAATTCTAAGCGAGTATAAAAAATATTTCTCAAAAGAGTCTTGATTTCGGGCATTTTTGGAAAGAAAAACAGAAGAAATTGCTGCGTTTAATTTGGGTGACCTGCAGGGGGCGCTTATCTGGGAAAGCCTTGATCCACCTCGCCCGCCTCATTCGAGTGATTTTCTCAAAGTGTCCGCCTTTATATGAATCCACAGTTGGAACATGGAAGAAACTCTTGTCTTTCTCTTTCCCTCTATTTGTGCGGTTGCTACAAGCGTACACCGCACAAAAAGATGGCATTTTGACAGCGCTTCTTCTTCTACTGTATCTCCGTGTATAACATAATAAAGTCCTGTCCTATGTTTGTTATTCGCGCCACTGCTCTGACGAAGTCTTCAGGGCCAGACTTACGACAATGTCAGGCTTTCTCTGTCACTGTCACTTTTTAAAGATCTAGGCTGAAAATGTATCTAGTCTGGTTTTGAGTGCACGTAGTATGCAATGGCACTTTATTTTGTACAGACAAACCATGTTGCTCAACCACCATTTTTTAGTCTGAAGCTATGTATTCAAAAGAGATGATAAAATTAGAGTGCAAAGAAGAGGCAATATATTCACTATTTGGAGTATAACTGTTCAAGCAGAAATTGTCCTATAAACTATGTGTTATTTATGGAGACTTCGGCTTGCTTTTCTGACCAAATTTGGATGGCCATTATACGAAGCGTCAGGTCCATGCACACCGAATTGTATATTAATAGATTTTAGTCTTTATACCCAGTGTTCAGAGGTCTCACTGCAAATAAACATTGCCAGAAGAGACAGTATTTTGCATTTCAGACATTCCTCTCTGCGTTGCTCACTTGTTCCACACTTTCCAGGTCCTTGACTTCCTTTTTAATATGCTCCATCCTCACTCCACAATAAATCTCATTCTGCATTTCTCCTTTAAGCCGCCTTTTTCTTCTCCTCCTCTCACCGAAAAAAAGACCTCTCCAATACTGGTGCGCTCACTCAAATAATTCACTCCCTCCGCCCCCTCCCTAAACATACATGTGCGCAGTCCTCCAGGCAGCAGCCACAAAGGCCCCATATTAATAAATCTGACGCTTTATTGGTGCTGAGTGTCTTTGGCAGGGAGAAGGATCCAGAGAAGGAGAAGCAGAGGGGAGGGCGGAGGGGGAGGAGGTGACTGACTGTGGCCGTATCATAAACAACAGAAAGGCAGCCATGAGAGAAGATGACCTCGAGCACTGAGAAATATCAATACGAAAATTGCGACTGTTCAATTACAATGAACTAATGATTATATGTGTTTGTGCTGTGATTTGATTAGTATTGTGAGTATGGTCGGGTCAATATGTTTTAATCAAACAATAGAATGGAACACAAGAGGCTCTACTACCTCATGGACTAGAATCATTTATTATTGTTGTAAAATATGGGAATGCATTGGCAAAGGTGCAGATGGCTGATTGGGTTATTGTTTCATTTGGAGATCAGATTGGAAGAAGACATTTCTTGCATACATGCCTCTGTGTAGAGGTTTTGTGTTGAAGTGTGGTCCTTTCCCTTCGGTCCTTAACATCCTCTTTGTGGTGCATTATTACTCCACCTGACACCTGGCTGGAGCAGTGAAGTGTGGAGAGGGTTGGAGCAGGACCAGGGCTCAGAAACAAACTGCCCGCGGTGGGCTGCAGTAATGACAGCGGCTCGCTGGGCTTAGTGCTCCAATCTCAGCCATCAGTCAGCTGTGACAGATTGGGGATATGAGCTAAGGAGCCGTTTAGCTTTGGTGTTTGCTGTGTGTGCGCACATGTGTGTGTCCGGGAGGAGGGCTATCACTGCTGCTAGTGTTGCAGAGGCATCAATACACTCTCGACAGGCCATTTTCCTATGCCTATTCCCAGCCACAGCTTGTTGCTGGGGCAACTACCGCCATTTTACCTTTTCTAGCTTTGTCTCAGGAAGATTTCATCAAGCCACAAATCATGTCTGGAAATCTTAGATTCTTTGACTCAGCCCAAAAAATCATCAGTGATATTAAGAGATATGTGCTGTGGACTACTGCGCTGACAAACGCTAATGTTGCGTGGATCATGATCAGTTTTTGACACATAGTAGCAGACCAGAGCCGCCACAGGGCGGCTGGTGTGGGAGAGACCATGATGAAACAGGATAAACAGGTCTTACCTGTCCGTGCGGCTGCATCCCACTGTACGGCATGTTCTGGTTCAACACCTTCTGCTTCATCAGCATCATCCTCTTCTGCTCCTCGCTTAGGTGCGCCGTCTGCCCTGGGATTGGCCCTTGTGTCTGTCCTGGCCCCGCCCCCTGGCCCCCACCTCCTCCCCCTCCCATGTAAGGTGGCATCATGGGGTTTTTGACTTGGCTGTTGCCCCCCATAGGAGGGGTCATCCTTTGGCCTATGTGGTCGACTCCGCTGCCGCTGAAGTGGCTGAGCGGTTTGGTGTTGTTGTAGGACAACATGGCAGCAGTCTGCTGCTTGGACAGAGCGCTCTGGTTCATGCTGTTCATGCCCATGTGGTTGTGAGGGAGGTAGTTGTTCATGGGAGCTTTGGGCCCGTTGTTGGGGGTCATGCCAGCCACCAGGGGGCCCTGTGGTGCATTAAAGGCTTGTGGTGGGTACATCATGGGGCTGTTGGGTTTGTCCTGGTTAAAGGGACCAGAGTTGTATGGGCTGGTGGGAGGTCCTGCAGGAGACCAGTTGGCCGCCTGCTGCTGCTGCTGTTTCTGCTGCAGGAGCTTGGCTCTCTGAGCTGCCATGGCTTTGAGCTGCTCCGCTGGAGACAGTTCAGGTGTGACGGGTCCCACAGAGGGAGGAACACCAGGCCCCGTCCCCGCAGCGCTCACTCCGGGGCCTGGGTTCATCAAGTAGCCGTTCCCTGGACGTGAGCCGGCCTGAGTCTGCGCTTGCGTCGGGGTCTGAGGTGATCGAGCTACACAGTTGTGCAGCGGAGAACCTGACGCCATGGCAACGGCGGGAGACTGCTGCAGAGGTTGTTGAGGAGGAGTCCCGTTGGCTGTGGTCGCAAACTGAGGACCCGACGAAGATGGCCGAACCTGTGGACGACCACACACAAACCATTACAGTAACAGTAGAAATTCGTTTTGGTCCACAAACTTTTCAAACCAACTACCTCCATTATTTGGGGGCGAGTAGTATCATATCTTACTCTGGTCTAAACCAGGATTATATTGGGTCAAAACTAGGGTGTAACTGGTTCTTGTCAGTAAAACCTGAGCCTGATACATGTATCATTGTGCTTATAGCCAGCAGCACATGTCCCTAGATGGGCTTTGAACACACAGCAGAGAAATAATAGAACCAATGGACAAAAATGTTTACTGACAAGTAAACATAAATGTGTCATTCAGGAGCCTAAAGCTGACTCTAGTAACTAGAGAAAAGTGAACATTAACCCTAAGAAGAATAACAAAGTGCACCAGGATGAGGTAAAACAACTGAGCCTTAAATAGAGCTCAAGAGGACTTCATGTAATGTTGCAAATTGCTAAAACCTCTTTTAAGAAGTGTTCAAACTTGTTGGTCAGCTTTAACTGGACCAAGTCTGGTTCACTTGCTTCACAGATCTGTTTCAAAAGATATACACTGACTTAAGTGACTAGTGGACACTTGTTTTGTGGTTTTACATCCTCAAATAAATCTTTTGCTACAAGTGAACCAGAATTGATCAAGTTAAAGTGAACCAGACCAACAATTCATACACTATATGGTTTTACACTGACACAAAGATACATTGCACAGTGACGGTGAAGCACTGACCTGCGGGGAGCCCATGGGGACCTGGGGACCGCTCTGTTGAGGTGGTGGAGGGAGAGGTGCTGCAGACCCCGTCCCGCTCGTTGTGCTCTGGGGCCCTGCCTCCTGTGGCCCGGGTGTCTGATTGCTGGTGGTCCGTCCAAACTCGGGCTCTTTCTTGTCCTCAAAGTCCTCGTTGAAGAGGTCGTGCATGTCGTCCTCAGGCACCGTGTTGGCCAGCTCGTCGATCAGCTCCTGCCACTCCTGATCGTTGAGGTTGATGTCCGAAAAGAGTTTGTTTTGATTGGACAATGATTGTGGGTCTGAAGTCTCGCCTGTGTCGTCCAGAGGCTCCTGTTTTAAGTCCTTAAGGAGACCAAAACTGTCCTCCAAGTCTAAAGACCTGTTCAGCTTCATGTCTGGAAGATGGCTACCACCGTTTTTGACCATCTCGTCTGACGTCCTGCCGACATGAGTCCCGTTACTGTTCGCTGTGCTATTTCCCGTGGAAGTGTTCGGCCCTCCGAGCAGGGGCTTGATGTCCATTTGGTGGTGTAAAGGTGAAATGGGAGGGACATTGCTGTTGGGCAGGCCCGTTAAAGAGTCCAGACCTTCCTTCCGTACCCGTTTTGTGGTGGGAGAGTAGCTGCCTCCGTCACAGATGCCGTTTTGGTCCCCGTTGAGGGGCGAGCGTGCGTTGTCCAGTTTCCTCTTCACCGTCTCCTGCAGCTGTAAAAGAAGGAAGCAGAAATTTATAGTTGTTCAATTGGCTATTCAACATCAAATCTTAGGAAAACTTGGCTTCAAAACTATTTCAAGGGACAAATGTGATACAAATAGGGTTGCAAAGAGGTAGAACATTTCTGATACATTTTCATGGAAAGTTAAGCAGGGGGATTTTGGAAATATTAAATAATGTAGTTAAATCACTAGATATTTCAACTGATTTATTTGAAATTAGAACAAGTTCCCCATAATATCATCAAAACTTATTTAGAGGCACACAATTGAGCCTGGGGACTAAATAGTCTTGTGCTTTGGGCTCAAAAGTCTGTTCCAGTCTTCAAAAAATCCTCTGTGCACAGGAATATCAGGGCCAGTAGGGGGCGTGGTCTCAATAACCACAATGAGCAGTGTGGATTTGAATAGATCTAGATTATGATAAATTATACTTTTCTCAACTATATTTAAAGGTATATTGGAAGATTATCCCAAATTTTAGGAAAGAACCACCCTCTCCACTTTTTGAACAAAACTCTCTGGACTGATCAGCAGAATGATTGACAATTGCGAGGACCAATAGTCTTGATGATCCATCCAGAAGTATAAAATCCTCCTATAGACCTAGTTTCCTATAAAGAGCCAAACATCACTGTTGAAAAATCCCAGTTAATTCCTGTTTATTTCCATGCATTCTTGTTAATTCCCTTAAACTCCCACCAATTGATGGAATTTCACCTTTAAACAAAAAAAACTGTCCAACTCTAGCGTTGTAGCCACATGTCTGGTGCGATCTGTATCGTGCATCTTGAAAATCGTAGGTGAACCATATCAGCTTCTGTAGTCTTAGCATTTCTGCTGATTACACGGGATAGAAAATCACTACTGTGAAGACAACTTCCGCAGCGCACATGTCGTGAGCTGTCACAAAATGGAGAGGTGCACCCTGGGCTTGTCCACATTGGAGCTTGCGGATGTATTGATCACACCATTATTAAGGTTTCAGATGAACCCTGTCTCTTCTGGTGCTAAACAACATGTAGGAAGGTAAAGCAATAGCAGCTGGTTGGAATCTTGATCTTTGAGCCTTTGGAAATACTATCATAAATATCTATCTCTTGTAATCAGTTGAAATGATATAATGACAGAAACTGATTTTTATTTATTTTTTTAACATGAACTCACAGAATCTTATTGTAACGTTCAAGTTTACTGCAAAGGAACGACCATAAACTGCCTTTCTCAAATTGCCAGGAGTCGAGACGTAAGAACATATTTGTCCTGATGAAAGGATACGGTCTACTTCCAATACTTTTACTCACATACAAGTCAAAGCATCAAAAGGTAACAAAAGATTTATTGAAATGTGGATATGGCTCCAGTTGTTGATATAGCGTGAATAAAAAAAATTACAACTCAACTACTTAAAGTCGATGTCAGTTACATTTAAAATTGTGGGAAAAGAGAAAATGTCAAATGCAAATTATGAATTGAAATCTTTGTTTGGCAGGTAAACACTTCCTCCAGCAAATATTACTGGTGGAAGTTCCATCAAGGAGAGGGACTATTCTAAATATATTTAATTTCAGAATACTTGTTCACATGATAGCATAGGGTCAGGTGGTCACACATAGTTATTGTTTTCAAAATGACCGTTGTGTACTTATGTATTTGTAGATCCTGGTACTGTTTTATCTCATGGTATTGAACAAAGTTTAAGATCTTAAAAGTATATAGGAGGATTTTCCCAAATTTTAAGAAATATCCGCCCTCTCCTCTCTGGTCTTATTTGACGAGCACGTATCACCAGAATGATTGACAATTGGGAGGACCAATAGTCTTGATGATCCACCCAGAAGTAGAAAATCCTCCTATGTACCTTTAACACAGAAATGCATATGGCAATTCAATAAATGTAACTTCCTCAAGAAATAACATGCTTAACAATCAATCTATGAACGTATTTGCTTGCAGGTTAATAACAACGCAGTGATGTATCGCAAATGAAAATGTGTCAGTTTTGAACATGACCAATATGCCTGTGTTTTTGGTTCATCAATCGTTTCTATACGTACTACATAAAAGTCAAACAGATACAATAAAAAGCCAAGAAACTATACAAGCTCCACTCAAGAAGCCTGCTGAGTTTTCATATGGCTGAGACTGGATAACCACAGGGTGCTGAATAAGCCGCCTAGCATTTAAGGTAATGACTATGATAGAACTGGCAGCAAAGGACCGAAGGTTTGAGCAAGACACAACACGACACACACATCATATGAAAGAACAATGACATGAAGTGTGAGCGCCATGACTTTTATTTTAGGGAGAATATTTGAACACAGGCGAGTGTCAGTGAGGTACTGAATAGAGAGACATTAGGTGTAAATCTGTCTGTGTAATGTAAACGTGGGGGTATAGGGCGATTTTAGACACATGTGTGATATGTGATGTCTATGACTGTGATAACGACAGCGTCTTTCCCCAAATTAATCCATGGAATGTTGGAAATCCATGTTGTGTGTTATTTCACATCTGCGCCAAAAGCTCGGGGAAATAGAAACATTCCTGAATAAAAAAAACATTATCTAGACAAAAAAAATATTGCGCGATAAGGACGGAACTAACTATTTGAACAACTGTTGAACAAATATTACTTCTATTCATCGATTCGTTGTTTGGATCCTGACATTTTGGTGAATATGGGGTTTCTTATATACTTTTGACCAAAACATACACTGCAAAAAATGATAAAATATGAGGTATAGCTGCTTGCATTGAGTGGTTTTTATCAATATTTGAGTACATTCTGACTGCCTTAAAACAAGATTCGCCACTGGGACAAAGCCATTTAGTTTTATATCAAGAACTGTTGCTTTATTTTCTCATTTCAAGGGAGACAGTACTTGTATGTTTTAAAAGAACATAATTCTGCTGTTTCCAGTGGCAAATCTTGTTTTAAGGCAGTCAAAATGTGCTGAAATTAAGATATATTTTGCCAAATGTTAGCTATTTTTGACTCTTTTTGCAGGGATGTCTTGTGACACACTGGGTTGTTTGAAATACTTTGACTAAGGCTGTGATGTCGGATTGCCACTCCTCCGACCAAGAGATGGATTAATGAAGGGGATGAAAAAGAATGAATGAATGGACCTTTGAATGATATTCTAATTTTAAAGTAATAAAACATATTCTCAACATGTTTAAATCTGCTCAAAGTTAAAAACACAATTAATCAACTGCTATATTAGTTGACAACTATTTCAATAGTTGATTAGCTGCATGGCTTTTTTAACCCTAATCCTAATCCTACAAAATTACAAGATTAAAACAAATATGCACATCTTCAGTATCAATATTGCATTTGTCATTATCGTGAAAACAATATCTCCAGAATTTATTGTACACTTTGTCATGGGAGCATGTGATTAACTGAAAAGACTCCAATTTAAAACAACAGGGACTGAATGAAGAAGCAACACTTTGACTCGCACCTTTCCAATGCTTCTGACAACATTTTATATTCTAAGAAACTCGCCCAAAATAAACCGGAGGGAAAAAGCATAAAGTCTGCTGTTTTATAAACTCTCAATCTCATTTTTCCATGTAACTCTTGTTAATTTCAAACCTTAATGAAGTTGGCAGAGAAATAGAGGATGCTATTAAAATGACGGATGGGAAGCAGGGACCTCATTTGTGAAAGGTTCCCAGGGCACGAATTTTGTGCTCTAACCCAATTCTGAGCTACACTTTATAGAGATAGCAAGATTAATAAAACACGTCTTTGTGACAGAATGCACTTTCTTTCACATATTTAGGTAATGTACAAACGTGAGACTGAACTCAAACACAAATTTGAATCCAAATCCTTTTTAATCAGCAACAACCCCATAGTCAAATGTATTCACAATTCCAAAATAGAAAAGAGCATGGTGCCTGAGTGTATGTTCCCTGCAATGGCATGGACAATATTAGGGCTGTTACTCTTGGGTTGTTTGGTCCAGTGTTTCCCAACCCGGGGTACATTGCCCCTAGTGGTACATTGCCCCTAGTGGTACGCAAGGGTACAGGTAGAACTCGCAATGGTCCAAAGTTACAAAACATTGATGGTTAATATGGGCTACTATGGCATTATCATTAACATTTTTATAGGTAATTATCTACATAAAACAACCACGTAATGTATTCCATTCTGAAGCTTGAATCCACAATGATCATTATAATGGATCTATCAATCTGCAATAACAAGCCGTCTTGGTCGGTGCATTTGGTTACTACGAGGTTCCTGTGTTGTAGTGACGGAGGTGAAACTAGAACACATACCCTGGTCATACCCTGCCTATGCAATATCAATAACAAATTCAGGGACGCAGAAAGAGGGTATTTGGGTTGACTCCTCAGTTTCGGTCTTTACCAAAGTACCCATCATATTTTCTGAATCAAATAGTATCCTAGATCTCTGAAATACGACAAAAAACTAGTCCATCAAACGATCAATAAAAAGTATACAGGGTTTACCTAACAATAGCTGCATCAAAATACAAAGTGCGCATCCCTCAAATCTACATTTCAAACAACAAGAAAAGTTGTGTGAAAGACATGTAAAAGACACACACAACACCTCAAATAAATGCATGCTTAGCTCTTTGTTATTCAGATGGAACAGCAGACATAATATATTCAGATTGTATTCTGACCCTGGGGTGGACCCGCTGAGGCTGACGCACACACATGCACACCCACACCCACACACGCACGCGCACGCACACACACACACACACACACCATCACTCAACACAAGCACAAACCACAGCAGACACCAGGCAACTTCACTTTCCTGCCTTTCACTGGTGAACGACTAAGTAAATATGATCTTGAGCCACTGTAAATGATTGTAGAGACGAGATACGAGATTTCATATTTAGCAGTAAACCGCCGCTGACCTCATGTTTATGATGTTTTATTATACTCTGACGACTCAGCGCCTTAACAATGATGTCCTCCACTTATAAAGCGCTTTACAGGATTGTTGAAGTCCCTCAAAGCTCCTCACTATGGACACTGTTCTGGTACACTATACTGCTGTAGCCACGGCAGCCCTGGGGCAGACTGATGGAGGTGAGGCAGCCCATCAGTGTCTTCAGCCCCTCCCACCACCACCATACTAGAGCATGTTTGTCTTTTGGATGGGTGAAACCGGAGTACTTGGAGGAAACCCACCCAGACACAGGGAGAAACAGCCAAGTTGACACAGGAGTGAACCCATGACCTTCTAGCTGTGAGGCAGGAGTGCCACCCACTCAGCCACCGGGCCGAGTGTTTGTTGTGGTGGAAAAGAACAGTTGTGTAACCAATAACAATAACGCCTTTATGAAACAGAGACTAGACAACACTTAAAGTATGCTAATGATGTGGCATTTATACTTGTTAGAGTCACATGCTCCAACTCCTGGACAAATCCCATAGAATGATAATTAACTTATTTCCATGGACAAAAACATTAGGCCAAGCTTCAAACAGAGGAGCTGCTCAGTCATTTTAACAAAGTATTCTTGAACAAAACAACATGTGTTTAGATCATCGCAAAACACGATTAATGCCATTGAGTGGAACATTCCAGGAGCCGCATCTCAGACTGAAGCACTCCTCACAAACATAAATCTTACTTAAGGCACATTAGGAGAGGTTTGACATGTGACCTAATGCCAAGTCTGAAGTATCTTGCCCGAGGACACAACAAAAACACATGCACTGAATTGAGCTGAACCACTGCATGCTCGTTTCCAAAATGTAAACAGGTGCAGATC